AGGAATGATCCTGGTCTCCATCTGACCATTTCTGTAAGAATATTGGGAGTGAACATAAGTCCTAGGGGATGGGGGTTGCAAAGGTGGTTTGATCAAATGTTTTTGTGCCCTTGCCAAAATCAGGATTCATCCAAGGTCACAGTGCTGTCCACAGCGGCGTTCAGTTTTGCTCACAGTGCGTAGAGAATGGTTACTGTGCAGGAACAAGGTCCTAAGTCCTAACAGAAACTCTTTTTCAGATTAGCAGAGGAAAACTTGAAACCGTCATGGGATGGGTTATGCAAAGCGGAAATTGCTTGGAGACTTTTTCTAATTGCTGAAAGAAAAAAACAAAATTAGTTTAAATTACTCCTGTTTCTCAGGAGAGGTCATGTTGACTTGAAATGGTTATCTTTTATCTGAACTCCTTGTAATTGTTAATCTAAATAAATTTGACAGCTCTTCCTGGAGCCATGAACTCTCAGGTTTGGAATGACTCTATTAGCAATCATTTATTCCATATGCCAGCACTGCCACCAGCATCCCTGCCACCCTCCCCGTCACCACTGTTAACATGTCCACCACCACCCCACCATCATCACCACTACTGTCACCGCCATCACCACCAACCCCACCACTAGCATCACCACCGCCACCATCATGTCAGCAAACACTCGAGTGCCTGAAATTCGCCAGCCTGATGTCGTGGCTTCTCTTTTACCTCCATCAGGAAGTCATTCAGCTTTCCCAGGGTGTTTACTGACTCTCCAGGCAGCTAATTGCAGGACAGCTTTGAAGAACTCAAACTCTTTGCTTACGTAAGAGCCGTGTTCTCCCTCCATGTAATTCCCAGCTGTATATTTCTGTGCTTAGGGTCCTTATTGAATAGAAGTTCTTGCTATCTGAAGAGAACTCTCGTTCTCATCATCCAAAGTTCTTTCTTCCAAGAAATCTTTCAAAGTCGCAGGCAAGCCTTTTGCCTCAATTCATAGTTTTCTTTCATTTTTTTTTTAAACTTCTTTTTAAAGTTTAAGCTCAAACTGTGCCTTGAGGGTATGAAAGCCCACATTTCCCAGTTTCCAAGCTGACCAAAACTTTTAGTCAGACCTGTGAACTTGGGTTCTTTACCCCCCACTCAGTGCTCAGGCCCTGGAAATATCCATCATGCCTTTGTTTCATATTGGCCGACGCATCCCCTGGACCATGAAGACATCCAGTGTCACCACATCAGTGAGTAAACGGGGTCAGAACAACTGCCCCAGCTCATGACTGGAACCAGTTTCTGTTCCCTTGCTCCCAGAAATAATGGCCACTGTTTTCAAGAAGGTGCATTATTGTCTTAACCCCAGTTCATTGTGATTAAGAATCTCTGTCTACTACCTACAACCCAAGAATGACAATTAGGGCATTTGCTGAGAATTCTCTAATGGCTTCATTCATTACTGTTGCTTCTTTGGAGACTTAGTGTTCGTTGGCTCTGCTGAACTTCTCTATTGAGTACTAAACTAATAAATGCATCAACAGATGAAGAATTTGTCTCTTCTGATAAATAGAGTTCTGCGGAAGGAATAGATTCTGGGTAGTTAAAAGGCAAATGAACGCTGAAGCGCTCTGTCCGGGGCACTGGATTTACATCCACCATGAGGATTTCCTGAGGACTTGCTCGTTCTTCCAAGCTAATAGGGTTGGGAAAGCAGCCTTATCTCCTTGTTTAAAGTCAATAGGACGCCAGTAGCTTGCAAATATCTTTTAAACTTAGTTATCTCTCTCACATTATCAATCCCCTTTGAAGTCAAAACCATTGGACTTGGCTGCGGTTTCCATTTGAACTGCTGCGTATGTTATTTAGCGATTTGGTGGGGGGTGGGGGGTGGGAGTTAGTTCTTAAAGGATCTTAGGACCCAGTTTTAGGATGGCTGATTTAACTTAGAAGTGCGAGGAAGTCTGTAATTTGGCTAATGTGCTATTAGGAGAGCCATTTAGACCATGATGTACAGGACAACACTGCTGCACGTGTGATGGCACTGATCAGGAGTGCCACGGATGGCCTCCGTTTAAAAGAAGAAAACAAGTTCCTAAGTGTTTTCGGATTGTAAGCTCGTGAGTTAGAAACCTTTCCCATCCTGAAGCTATGACTTCTGGTTGGCAGTTTTATCTTACTGTATATATTACACACTCCAGATGTTTATAAAGTCCTTGAGCAAATTTAAAATTTAATAATTTGGGGTGTATGTATGATAGGAGCAAACAGTAGAAGGGAGCATCGTTCATAGAGTTTTACAAAGGGTACAGTTCAGGTATCTGGTGAGCCATAAATCGTCTGGATTGTCAACATTTTATTCATTGCGTTTATGATCCTAATACAGTCATTCGTGGAAGATGATTTTGGGGAGTAAACTATTATACTATTAAAAAAGTATGTGACGGGCTTCACTTTAGCCATAGTATATAAATTCTTCAGCCCATATCGTATTAAATAAAATAAAAGGACATTGGTAAATTCAATCCTGAAAACTATTGAACTCTTCTTTCTAATGATAATCAACTGCTTCTAAAACGTGTAAACTCCAAGTTACTGGAATGTTCTAAAGCACAAGATGTCATAAATATCCTGGATAGGTATGTATAGGCCTTTTGTTGAGAGCTAAGCAAAAGGTATCAATCTCTTGTTTCATTTTGTTAGAAAAAATTAGGTGGCTGTGAAGCAAGCATAACAGAGGAGTTCACTTCCTCTCTCGTGTTCATTTCACAAAGGACAATCCAGCTACTGTTTGATCTGTTTAAATCCTTTGCAGATCAATGGGCACAGCCCACGGATCTCCCTCCCAGCCTCTTGCTCATTCTGAGGTGCATTTCTGACCTGAGGAGGGTCTCATCAGGTGAGACAGCCCACCTGTGCTGAGCAGGAGTCCAGCCACGACGTCTGGTCGGATTGCAGGGAACTGTGTTTCAAGCACAATTGATTTGACTTCATTTCCTGCCAATATGCTCTAGATTAAACTCTGGATCAGTCTTTGAAGGGTAAAGTTTGTATGTATGCATCTATGTAGATTTTTAAATAAGTAAGTTCATAGGACTCCAGTGGTCCTGGTATTATTCACTGCATTAAGGCCAGCAGTCATCAGACGGACACACACACAGCCTCACCCGCTGCTGACATGAATGGCCTCCCGAGCCAGCCAGCCTTCCTGTCCGGGTCCCTCACCCCACCATGAGAGATGCTTGAGTGCTACTGACTTTTCCCAGGGACACGCACTCCCAGGCAGTTCATAAACACTTACCAGAAGCTTTGCTTTCTTCCAGAGGAAGATAATCCTCAGTCCGGCGAGTTTTCATCTCCAGAGCCAGGCCCTCTGGTTCTTTCTTCCCTTTCCAGTCACTTAAGGTGCAACCTTTGCTTTCTGTGAGTATTTGTGCCATGTGACCCTGTCAAACCTGTTCCCGTCTCCAGGAGTGTCTGAATCTCTGCTGCAATGCCACCACCTGTACCCTGAAGCCAGATGCTGTCTGCGCACACGGACTGTGCTGTGAAAACTGCCAGGTGAGTGTCCTCTTGGTCCCGAGGTCACCCGTGTAGTCAGCTGGTTCAACAGTGATGCAGGGCAAGCAATTGGACAGGGTGACTTCCCAGCACTCGCTGCTGTGGAAGCTATAATCCTTATCACGCAAGTTGGTACCATCTATCTCCTATTTTTGTCTTCCAATCTTCATGTGAAATGCATATTCTAATGCTAAGTCATCTGCGATAAATTATTTATTTATGAGCTGAAAAGTAAGTAGACCAAAGAACTCCAGCTCCATGTTAAACGTTCCGGGTCTGCTATTGGAGGAAGGTTTCGAGAACCAGTCCCCACTGCTGTGGGGACTCATGCCGGGTCCCTCTGCTCCATCCCAAGAACATCTGCCTGCTGGGTGAGGAGCTGCGTGGATTGTTCCAGGGATTTTGTGTCAACATCTTGATCTTGACATGCCCCCAACAGAAGGTGCTGGCTGACCCAGCCCAGCCAAGAGTGGCAGTTTTATACTTTTGCCATTTTCTGCCACCATGCCTGCGTTCGTTTTGGCAATTCCGTTGTCTGTCTCATTATTCAGAGCTGAGATCTGCCAGAGTCAAAGCCTGAGCTTTTGATTCAGAGGTTCCAAGAGTTTCATTTCCTTTTAATTAAGCAATTGATCTTGGCATTCTGCTTGCAGGAAACTCCCTCTTAGCGACCCAAGTAGAGCACAGTGTTTGAGAAGTGCATTACGACATTTTACATTCAGCTTAAAGTGTCTTTCATCCCCTTCCTACTTGTAATTAACTTACGGTGAACGCAGGTTAAAAGAGACAGCTGGTGGTGGAGGTGCCTGGAGGGTGCTTTGGGGGTGGGACAGATCACTGGTTGCGTAACCTCAGACAAGCCACCCTGAGCCATAAGTTCTTCAACCGCAAAGAGATGAGGCATTGTTTGGCATTGTTGTTCCTAACATCCTGTACAGCTCCCTTGCTTTACTTCTCTACATGCCCCTGTAAAGTCCTACAGACAGGTTTCCAGCTCTATGATTTGATGGCAAAGTAAAATCGCTGTTGTAAGTGTGCCCTTGGAGTTATTTTTGTCACCTTGCCCACAAAGCCTAGCGCTTTAAGCGCAAACGTCTTCTTAAAACACATGGTGGTGTTGGTGACCAGAGATCTTGTTCGTAAGAATCAATGGGTCCATCAGGCCACTCCCCGCCCCCAAGGTGCCAGGTGCCAGCAACCAGCTTGTCTGCTCACCAGAAAACCCTGATGTTGCGTGAAGTTAAAAAGAAGCTGATCTTAGTTACCCCCCATAACGGAAAGGTGAACCTCAGAGCCCAGAGCAAGGCTGTCTATTTAATGAGCTCTCTCTGCGGTAAAGGGAACTTCCTTTGAAATCCTCGCCCCTCTGTGTGAAGCTACAAGAGGATGGTTCTGTTCCTATCCACGCCCGGAGCGTTGCTGAGACCCTGCTTCCCCCTTTCCCGCAGTCACGAGCTATAAACGGCCCTCTCCTTTCAGCTGAAGCCTGCAGGAACGGCGTGCAGGGACTCTAGCAACTCCTGCGACCTCCCGGAGTTCTGCACGGGAGCCAGTCCTCACTGCCCAGCCAACGTGTACCTGCACGACGGGCACCCGTGTCAGGGAGTGGATGGCTATTGCTACAACGGCATCTGCCAGACCCACGAGCAGCAGTGCATCACCCTCTGGGGACCAGGTACGTGGCCACCACCACCTGGGTGCAGAGGGCCAGGGCCTGGGAGCCCACTCTCTGTTTCCATGAGCATCCCTCCTGGAGCGGCGCTTTCGAGAAAGCTTCCTTCTGTTCAGCTGGAGCGATTGGCTCTCTGGTGGGACCGGGGCCCTGCCAGGCACTGGGCATGCAGAAGTGGGTGCTGCCTACAGCCCGCCCCAAGGAGCTCAGTCCAGTCCAGCCAGAGATGTGTGAGCACCTACTGTGTGCCCGTGGGGTGACAGGGATAAACCAGCCAGGACCCTTGCCCTCAGACAGCTTAACAGGGAGTTGGGCAGACAGATGGCAGAACTTCCCACCACTGCCCTGACTGTGTTAGTGCTTCTTAGAGCCCAAGCGAGGACCCCAACCAAGGGCAGAGGGTGCTGGAGAGAAAGTCAGGGCTGCTGGAGGGCCGGGGGGCTGCCTTGGGAAGGCCCAGGGCAGACCTGATGTGTGAGTCTGTGATGGGGAAGGATGTGCAGAGGGGTGGCCCAGAGTGGGAGGCCCGGGCTCCAGAGGAAGAACACGGAGACAGATGTTTAAGGGCCTTGAACACCTTTGAGGTTCTTTTCAAGTTTTTATTTATTTATTTATTTGTTTTGTTTTATTTATTTTTGGCTGCGTTGGGTCTTCGTTGCTGTGCGTGGGCTTTCTCTAGTTGCAGCAAGAGGGGGCTACTCTTCGTTGTGGTGCGCGGGCCTCTCACTGTGGTGGCTTCTCTTGTTGCGGAGCACGGGCTCTAGGCACGCAGGCTTCACTAGTTGTGGCTTGCAGGCTCAGTAGTTGTGGCTCGTGGGCTCTAGAGTGCAGGCTCAGTAGTTGTGGCGCACGGGCTTAGTTGCTCCATGGCATGTGGGATCTTCCCGGACCAGGGCTCGAACCCGTGTCCCCTGCGTTGGCAGGTGGATTCGTAACCACTGCGCCACCAGGGAAGCTCCCCTTTGTGGCTCTTGAAGGCAGAGTGACAGACACGTGTGTCCCAGAAAAAGCACCCAGGTGGGAAGGTGGCCAGGGAGCGGCCGCTGCGTGACTGGATCCCTTAGAGACTGTTCACCACTTCCCGGGCGTGGGCCACTGGGCCCGGGCTCCGTATGGTTTGGCCCTTGTAAATCTCCCATGACCCCTGAGGGAGAGACAATGACTACAGCTTTATGGAAGGCAAAGCTCAGACTCAGAGGCTGGAAGTTATTTCCCAAGGTCATGAGGCTGGGATTTGAACCCAGGTCTTTGTGACCCAGAGCCCAGGTGTAGTTCTCACACTGTGCCATCACCCCAAAGAGCCAGTGAACGAAAGTCCCACAGGTGCTCTAGGATTAAATGGATGCACAGATGTGAAATGGGGAAGACTGAGTCCCCTGTGTCTCTCTTTCCTCCACTGCCCCGTCTTCTGGGGCCGGAGATCCAGGGCCTGGTGGGCAGCCCAGGGCATGGGCTTGTCACCCCAGGGTTGGCCGCTCGTCTCCTGCGTTGAGGATTCTGGCGGTGAATCCCACAGGGTATTTTCCAAGACTGTGGCCCAATGACCGTGGTCATTCTTCTCCCTCTTCCCGTTGGTGGCAGCGTGACCTCAGTTCTGGCCAGAGGCCCCAGCTGTGGCAAGGGCACCGTGACCAGCCAGGCCCAGGCAGAGGGCCAGGCAAGCCCAGGCTCTGCAGGGGAGAGAAATCCGATACAGGCCTTTGTCAGACTCTATGGTGAGGTTTTGGGTCTAGGGGTGATGAAGGAAATAAACGAGGGCGGAAAACGATGACTAAACCGCAGAGCTTGGGTTTTCAGTGTGACGTGAAAGCAATGACCCACGCGTGGAGAACAGGGCAGATGTTTCTTGAGGCTGGGGCCAGTCATGGAGCCCAGTCACCACCCTCCAAAGCCAAAGATGCCCTTGTGCGCTGGGAACTTCCTGAGGGAACAGAGAGAGCAGCCTGGATGCAGCAACAAGGGCTAACACAGCCTCCATTTATCCTGTTCTCTGGAGAGTTCTTCCAGTGCCTCAGGTTTCACGGGTGTGCTTGGGCAGGTGGAAGGAGAAGCTGGTGGTGCCTGGAGCCTTAGTGCTTTGTCTTTGGGCCCTGGCCTCCTCCCTGGCTAGGCAGGAGGACCCAGGCAAGGTAGGGCTTACAGCTTCAAAAGCTTTTCAATGACAAGCACAAAGTAGGCACTCACTATACACAGGTCACGTGGTTGTATGGGCTCTGAATGGCTTAGTGACTTCAGACACCTTTTAGCCAAGTGGGGTCACTTTGGGACAGTGACTCCTGCTGCAGGCCAAATCTTCATGGCCTGAAGCATCCCTAGTGGCCGTCCCTTCCCAGCCTTTCTCCGGACTCGGTAATCTCCCCTTCTCGAGTTACAAGGGATCTTATAACACTCCCTTCCAAGGAGCATTCCATGGCCAGAGCACACACAGCACTTGGAGCTTTTGGAGTGAAATGTGGTCTTTGGTGCCCTGCTGTATTAGAGCGTCTGGCCCCAGTTCCAGAGTGAGTCAGATGGAGCCCCGCCGTCCTCTCTGAGCTCCCACCACCGAGTGACTCAGCTGGCTGCATGCCTTTGATTCATGGTGACCAAGGCTGGTATTCATTATCTCATCCGATTAGTCCTTCTCGAGCTGCCTGACCAGAGACAGACCCAGACAGGCGGACAAACTGACAGCGTGACTCACAGGCTGAGCTTTTCAAAAGCAGTAGGGAGTTACCTGCTTGGAACCCTCGACATCCTTGTGAGCGAGGGTGGGGACCCCGGGGAACGCACCACCCCCAGAGCAGGGGCTGCCTCCCTGGGGCTCCGGGCCGGCCCCTTCTCTCCCCTCCCATCCTCACCCTGGTGACTGAGGACGCTTTTGCCGGGGCGACAGTGGGCTTGCCGTGAGGGGGCCATGGCACATAGACTAAAACATCTCTGACGTCAGAAATTCCGAGTTCCTGGAAACAACCAGCACGGGGACCAGGCTTGCAGAGACCCTCAGGCTGGTGACTTCCCGGGGTTCCATCTACCTCGGCCAACCCCTTCTTAGTTCTTGCAATCACCGCACAGACTTCCTCGGGAGAGCAGAGAACTTAGTGCCACCACCAGCTGTGGCACTGGTACAGTGGCCCTCTGTACCAGGGGGCTTCTTGGAAGGGCCTTCACCCACCCCCTTTGCAAATATGCTGTGTTCCTTTCCTTATATCAGTGTGGCAGCCTCACTGTCCGGTTCAAGAGCACCGTGTGAGTGTCCTGTGTATGCTCTAACCCAGTGGCTTACGACAACACAAATTTATCATCTTCTAGTTCTTGGTTGGGGTCAGACATCCTAAAATCAAGGTGCTGGCAGGGCAGTGTTACCTTCGGAGGCTCTAGGGGAAAATCTGCCTCCTGGCCTTTTCCAGCTTTGAGAGGCTGCCTGCAGCTGCTTGGCCCCTGGCCGCGTCGTCCACCTTCAAGGCCAGCAGCACAGAATCTTCAAATCTCTGTGTCCCTCCGACTCCTGCTTTTGTGGCCAGATTTCCTTCTCTGACTCTGACCCTCGCTCCTCCTTCTGGTAAAGGACGCTAGTGATTATATTGGACCAGATCACCCAGCATCGTCTCCCCATCTCAAGATCCGTAACTTAATCAATCACGTCTTCAGAGTCCCTTCTGCTGAGCAAGGTCACGTAGTCACAGGTTCCAAGGATTAGGGCATTTTCCAGGTACCATAGGCAGTGAGCAGACCGCTTATTGGCAGGGTGACCTTCAGCAGGTTTTCTCAACCCTGTTGTACCCCGTCTGTAAAGTGGGCAGAGTAATACGTCTACCGCATGGGTGTATCATTGCCCTCCAACATAGCTTATTATCTATTTCATATATGTGAGTATATTATATGTATATATCACATGCGGTAGCATGCAGCTTGCACAGTGCCTGGGGCCGTGGGGAGGGCTGAGATCTGGTGGGAAGAGAGAGGGGCTTCAGCCAGGCGTGAAAGGGGTAGGGGAGCCAAGCAGGAAGGCTCCAAGCCGAGGTTGCCCTGGGGTGGTCATTGCCAGGGTGGGAGAGGAGGGGACTTCCTGCGTGTGGAACAGCAAGGGCCAGGGTGCGCAGGAACGGGGGGCCATCTCAGGGAACTGCGGGCACTTCTGCTTGTCCAGAGCTTGGGCTGTGACCTGGAGCGCAGAGAACCCCGTCTGCTACCCTCTTCTCGCCTTTGCTAACGATTCAACGATGTCCTGCTATTGTGAGATGCTGACCAAGAGCCCTGGTCTGCCAGAGTGACATACTTCCCACAGTCCCAGTGCACTCTTGCCTGGACCTCTGCAGTAGAGTCGGGATGTGACCGTCACGGTTCCAGGGGCAGAGGTCACTTCCTCGGCCAGGTCCCGGCCAGCTAGATGTGCCAAGCTGAGAGCAGCGTATTGCTGTGTTACAGTGGTTGCTTTGAATTAGCTTTTCATGTTTCGGAAGAGGAAAACTTATTGTCAAGGATACATTTGCAATCTTTCATTTCCCATCCTTTAGCAAACGCTCTGGGATCAGGGCCACATTTGCTTTGGGGTCATTTCTGACCCCCTATGAAGACAGTAACTCATAAATCTAGGAGTCGCCGAGCTCTTGCTCTGCCAGCCCTCGCCATTGGCAACTTGGCCAGAATCCTCCGTTACATTCAGGAAGTCAGTTAGTTACTCACTCCCCAAATCTGGCTACCCAAACACTGACCAGATGAAGCCCTTCCTTCCAGCTAACTGTTCCCTTTTGAGATGGACTTTTCTCAATCCAGCATTATATTTCAATAAAATAATCCTGCTTCCAAATCTTTCTACAAATAAATGATAGAAAATTCAAAACATATGCCTGCAACTCGTAACTGGCAAAGTCATATACTTTTAGAATACCTTTTGGGGCTTTTGTTCATCCACTTGTTTTCCTAGTTATTACTGTTGATGATATTCTTGCCGGCCTGGAGTTGACATTTTTTTTTTTTTCTCAGTGATTTTTCTTCCACAAATCTTGCATCTCAAGACTTTG